CGAGCGCAGGGCGCGCATTACCTTTGGTCTGGCTACTCTCCATCGCCCCATCCTGCTGCTTGCCTACAACGGAAGAGGAATGACAGACGCGAAGACTTGAGAACACCCACACGGTCCTGGCACATGCACACAGGACAAGGGGAACACAGACAGCGAGGCCAGAGAGCACGGTGGAAAGTGGGGAGCGGGGGAGGGCTCCAGACCCCCCAGGCATCCTCTGATGCCCTGTGACCACCTCTTGGCAAATGGGCGCCACACTCGGGGCTTCCAGACCGAGTCCCCAGCCCTCCAGCGAACCCTCAAAGCCAGCCCTGGACAAACCGTGGGTCATGCATGGCCAGCAGTGGGAGGTCTCCAAAAAGGCCACCACCATGGGGAGTTAGAGCGGCCGGGTGTCTGGTCCCAGCTCTGCTACCTTGAGCAGGGCCCCCAAGCTGCGATGTGCATTGTCCCCAGGAGCAGCACGAGCCGTTTACCTCGGCGGTCCCTAGCCCCCACTGGCCTAGAGGTCAGCTCTCTGCCGCACAGCCAGCAGTTAGCTCTATGAGGGCTTTGGAGGGACAAAGGAGCGAGACTCTAGAAACCTGCCAGCTTCCGGGGCCCGCCTGGGTGCTGGGCACCTAGCACTGGAGGGAGGACAGGGGCGTGGAATGCGCTGGGCCCCAGGTGGACCTGTGGGGGGTGGCCATTCATGAGCGTGCTCTGCCACCACAAAGCCCGCAGCCGGGTGTTGGGGACTGTGGCAGTGAGTGGCTTCCAAGGCGGTGAGTCTAGCACTGTGCTCAGGGTCAGGCTCTGCACCCAGCTCCTCTGGCCTCATCTTTCCCAGGGCATCATGGGTGGGGCATCAGGTCAAGGAGCTCTTTTCGGAGCCACACCACTGCTGGCCCAGGATCCAGAAATGACTGACCTGGGGGGCAGGAGGGGCTTGTGTGCTGACCTGTCAGCCAGCCCCCAAGAGCTCATGTCACTGGGCGTCCAGGAACGCAGACAGGGTGCCAGGTGGCTCCTAGGCAGTAGGGTGTGGTCTGTGGGGGTCCCAGGGAGCGGGGAGGGGTCCCCTCCCAGCTGGGGTGGGGTGTAGGTTGGTCCCTCTGTGAGGGTGGGGAGGTTCAGAGGGCAAGGAGATTTCTGGGGGCAGAGGAGACACCCGTAGACACACGGTGACAATACAGCACAGTGAGGAGTCATTGCTGAAAACTCCAGAAAGGACAGAGGCCGCAGACAGGGCCCAGGGAGGCCTCTGGAGGAGGGAGGGAGGCGTGGGATGAGCACTACAGGAAGAGGAAGACAGAAGCCGAGGGAGGGGAAAGGGGGGAAGAAGGACACCCCAAGTAGAAAGGTGACTAGGAGTCAAGGCCAAAAGGCAAGAAACAGGTCGGAGGGCAGCAGGTGGACTGGGAGCCCCGGGCTGACGGACGGGGTTGAGAGGCAGCGAGGGTGAGGACGAGGGCCGGTGGGGGAGGTGCTGGGCGTGGCCACTGCAGTGGCTGGGCCTTGGGCTGAGACCTGGGTGGGGAACTGTGGGTGCTGCTGCCCCTCCCCGGAGCCTGGCCGGCTCCGCTCCCCTCTGGGGCCCCCCTCAGGGTTCCCCTCCTCCAGGAAGCCCGCTGGTGAAGGTGCCCCCTCTGACTCCTAAGTCACAGTGTCGATGGAGGAACACCAGGCACTCAGCTAGGCTTCCCCGGAGAGAGGGATGGGGACTCTGGCCCAGCCCCGACGGAGGCCCAGGGCTGACCTACCCACCCGCACGCCTGCCTAGGGACCCTACTGTGCTCACCGTGGAGAGCAATTAGGCTGAGCCCTGCAGGGAGAGGAGGCTTGCTGTGGCAAAGGTGGACAGGGCCAATGGAAGCTTCCAGGCAATAGCTGGTCATCTGAGTCCTCTCTCTCACCGCCTCCAGGAGCAGGGTAGCCTAGGGCTGGGGACACTAGCACATTCTTCCTTATGCTGACCTGCCCCCTTGTTGCCTGTTTTCTGGGTCTAGGGGCCCTGACTGACTGAGGTGGGGCTGGTGGCTGCAGGCTTTCGGCACACGCTTTCCCCACACACGTGCAGGTTCTCTGTACTTCTAGCGGACCCGAGTGAATTCTCTCAGAGGCACACATCTAGAAAATTCTGCTCCCAGCTGACTGGACTGCAGGAGCAGCCTGAGGGGAGACCCAGGTTGGTGCAAGGTGAGTCGTGAGCTGGTGCAGGCCTGAATCGAAGAAGGTAATGGGGTCCTGACTCTGGGACTGGGACTCTGGTGTGGGGGTGGCCCCGAGGACTGCTCCGTAGTTTTGTAAGACCTGCCCTGAGGACCGGAAGGAGCCACTGGCCGTGCCTGGGGCTCAGAGCAGCGGCAAGGGGAGGCAGCAGGATGGCCATGTGCCGGGGAGGCCAGAGTGGCTACAGAGCTGGGCTCTCAGAACACATCTGTCCCTTGACACTGTTTTCCCCTTGGGAACCCTCTACCTCTGGCTGTATGACCCACGTTTCCCTGGCTGCCACGTCGGCGGGGCCCTCAGTACCTTACCAAGGGGAATGAGCACACCCAGGGGTGGGCACAAGGTCCCCGGAGCACTCTCCCAAGCCAAGGCGGCTGGCCCCTGTCCCTCCAACCCCATTCCTACCCAGGCAGGGCACTTCCCCTACCCTGGCGCACACTTCCCAAAGCCTTCGGGGAATAGCTGCCCGAGGGAGGCTGGCCTTACACAGAAATGAGGGGCCCCCGACGTGCTGGCCCCAGAAGAGGGGTCCCCGACAGGGATCAGAAGAGAGGGTATGGCCTCCCACCCCCGAGGGCTGGCTCTCCCTGGAGCTGGAGCTGGAGTAGGGGATTAGGCCAGCAGGGGATGAAAGAAGGAAGAGCGGGCTGCACGGACAGAGGGTCAGCCCCTCGTTGGCACTGGGAACTGGAGGTCACCGTTTCCTTACCTTTCTTATCCTTCTTCTCCTCTTCCTCTCCACCGGCTCCGAGCAAGGTAAAGATGATGCCTGTCTGGGAGTTCACCCCAACGGCAGTCACCACCATTCTTCCAGAACCTTCCATGACATGAGTACCTGGCAACACAGAGGAACCAAGACGGACATTTGCACCTCTGGTGGGAGGCATGCGGAACACCTACAGGTTCTCACGCAGGAATCCCAGAAGCAGGGACTCGGTGTCGGGAGGCCCCCGGAAGCTACGTTGACCCTAAGCCTAGGCTGAGGCCTCACAGGGCCCACCTGGGGCCTCCAGCCTCTCTGTCCTGTTGCATACTGCGTTTGCCACTGGGATAAACACTGGGCTAAGCCAAAACCTTCTGGAAAGGGAACACTACCCCCACTGGCTCTTCTTGAGTGTCTGGGCCGGGGAGGAGCACAGCACTATGTTGACCCCTCTGGGGGGCTTTTGGCAGGATGTCAGGGGCCCTTCGGGGCTTGGAGTACCCATTTCCTTTCCCAGTGGCTGAGCTACCACTGTCATGCCTCCCACAGGCTGCTCTGGCCTCTTGGGGGGGGGGGGCAAAATCTTCAGACTCTCCGACCAGAAGGGCTACTCAGGAGGCCCCTGGTTGAGGGGATGGCCAGCCCAAGTGACCTCCAAGGCTCTTCAGGGCTGAGCTGGTCCAGGGGGCAGTGTCAGCCTGCATCCTGGCCTCCCCACAGCCTGGCTAGTGCCCTGAGGCCTCACCTGAGAGCAGCATGGGGTCTTTGTCGGCTGATTTGCGCACGTGGTCTGACTCGCCTGTCAGGGAGCTCTCATCGATCTTGAGGTCATTGCCTTGGATGAGCACGCCGTCAGCAGGTAGCAGGTCTCCTAAGGCCAGCCAGGCGGCCGGAACCACAGGCTGTGGGTCGAGGTAGCCTTCCTCCCTGCTGCCTCCCCCCTGCCCCAGGAGAGGTCTCGAACCTAGGGTGTGGGGCCCTCTTCTTTCAGTCTCCTCCTTTCTGGGGAGGATTCACCCACCCCAGCCTTGTCATCCTGCCCTCCTGGGGCTCTGTCTCCAGCCTGAGCCCCCACCTTCAGCCCCTGCACACACACCGCCCCCCCCCCCCCCCGCCCCGTAGGTGAAGGCCCACATGCTCCTGGGGCGAGGCGGTGGGGAGGCCTGCACTGGGTGCACTCACCGTACTTGACCTGGGCAATGTCTCCCACCACCAGTGCGGCCACGGGGACCTGCAGCAGCTGGCCATCCCGGATGACTGAGAACCTCTGTTCCTGCTCGATGCGGCTCTGCAGGCCCCGGAACTGCCTCTCCTTGCTCCAGTCATTGAAGGCCGTGACCAGCACCACGCAGGTGACCGACAACAGGATGGCGGCTCCCTCGATCCAGCCTGCCTCGGCCTCCCCTTCGTCTTCTGCCCCAGCTGACACATTCCCGCATGCTGGGCCCGAGGACAGCAGGGAAGGATGGGGTGGCAGGAGAGTCACGCCGTTGCCCCTCGGCTCAGGTCCCGTTCCGTCCCTCCTGCCGGGCCCTCCCCTGCTCACCTTCGCTCTCCTCCCCTGGCGGCGCATAGAATGAAAGGCCCAGGGAGACAATGGCGGCCACCTCCAGGATGATCAGGGTCACGTCCTGCAGGGCCTCCCACACCAGCTGCAGGAAGGTCTTGGGCTGCTTGGGAGGGATAAAGTTCTGCCCGTAGATCTGCCTGCGCTTCTCTAAGTCATTGGCATTGTTGGCCAGGCCTGTGTGGTGCAGGGGCGGAGAGCAGGGACACGAAGAGGATGGGAGAGCAGCCGCGCGAGGCCCTGCCCCTCCCTGCCCTGCTCAGCCACAGCGCCCGCCCCGCCCTCCAGCCTGAAAGCCCCCCGAAGGCCAGCCTGCCCTGGCCCGGACGGCTCTCTGCCACCACACAGCGCACGGCCGTGTGGGGCCCCTAGTGTGCCGAAGGGCCGGGTCCTCCCCCGGGTAGGCCCAGGGACGTCCATGGGCTACGTTGAGTCCCTTCAAAGGGCAGACGGGGAGGAATGCAGTGACACCCGACGTGGGGGGTGGGCAGAGGGGACCCAGCTGGGCCAGGGATGGCCAAGTGTCATCTGGAGACAGGAGAAGAGACTGCCAAGGTTCTCCCAGGGGTGCAGGGCCTGGTACGAGACTGGGCTGGAGGGCACAGGGGCTGTGAGTGGGCCGACGTGCTCATACCATCCCTCCAGGGTCCAGAGGAGGAAACTGAGGCCAGGGAGGGAAAGGGCCTCGTACCCATGAGTTGGAGCTCTTGTGGGCAGCCCAGGACTCCTCGGCTACCCTGTGCACCTGACCCCAGGTCAGGACGAGAGCAGCCTCACACATGCTAAGCCACCAAGAGGGTGGCATGGTCAAACTGTGTGTGCGGGACGCAGAGCCTATATCATCTGACAGGACCTGGGGGAGGGTCGGCTCTAGCAGCCCAAAGACCTTGTCCATTTCGCCCCCGCTGCTGAGCACGGGCCTGGCACCCACGGCACTTAGGAGCTGCATAGGAACTGTCCCCAGCCCTGTGTTCTCATGGCCAGTGCTCCGGAGACAGCTGGCTCCTTCCTAATGCTTTCCCTAGACCCCACAGCGGTGCCAACCTTGAGCTCTGAGCTGGGGGTCACAGTGAAGGGCAGGGATGGGACGTGGGCTCCTATGGGGCTGCATGCATGGCAGTTGGTGAACCATCTATAAGGTCAATGGGATTGTCAGCAATTCATGCTGAGGCCGCACTGTCCCCTGGCCACCAGGCAGAGGACGAGAACGCTGGAGGATGAGGAAGCCAGTCCCACCGGGGGCCCCTTGTGGCCGGAGCAGATGAAGCACGGTGAAGGAGGGCTGAGGGGTTGACAGGGGCCTGACCAATAGTTTCAGAGCCCTGGGAGGCCCCCTCCACATCCCAGACAAGCTACTGTGTCGAGGCTGGGACAAAGGACTCAGAATCAACACCCACAAAGGGGTGAGCTCTGGCATTTGGAAGCTGGGCCCTTACCTTACTTCTCATTTTTGGGACAACCCCGCTTCCTACCCAGGCCTGCACCAAGCCTGCTGGGCCTCTGCCTGTAGAGCATGAGTCCCCTCAGGCCCATGCCTGAAGCTACCAGAAGCTTCTATGTGGGACTGACACGCAGGCCACCTCCTTCCAAGGCCAGATACCCACTTGGCCACCCACCCCTGAGGCCGGCAGACGGGACACAGTCCCCTGGGCCCGCCCTCAGCCCTCAGCCCTCAGGATGCGGCTTCCTTCTAGACCTGTCCCTCAAGTGTCCAGCCCCACACTGACACCTAGTGGACAGATGGTGGCTTGCGGTTCCCGGTCACCGCCAACTCCTTTGGCCTCCTCCAAGGGGGCAGGGAGCAAGCCGGGAGGGCAGATGGGGGGTCGGGGTCCCCAGCCTATGGGGTGCTCCCAGCTGGCTTGGGGAAGGCACACAGGACCTGGCCCCCAGGCGACCTGAGAGCAAGGAAGTGCTAAGTGGAGCGCAGAAGGACTTGGGAGGAAGGACGGTGGGTGTCCACTAGGCAGGGAAATATGGCTTTGGGGGAGGGGCGCGGCGGGGCCCACCTGAGCTGGAAGGCCCGACAAGAGCCAAAGCCCAGCGCCGGCACAGCCCTGGCCCATCTGCCCAGCCGGGCGATGATCACACACCCTGTGTCCCCCACCTAGCCGAGCTGCAGCTGTGCCTGCCCTTCTCCCCGGGGCCTCATGGTGCCTGGGCCCTGCTGGGGCTCAAGTTTCTGGAGACTGCGACTTTCCAGTTGGGTGTCTGGGAGAAGCTCAGGACCTCAGGTCCTAGGGGCTGGGGTCCTAGCTGAGCGCTTGTGCCCCACTCCTGACTGAGGCCTGTGTCTTTAAGCTATAAGACATATGACACGTGGGGTCAGTACTAGGGAGGCACTTGAACCCTGGCCCTCCCAGACACTCAGGCTTTCCACAATCCCTGCCTGAGAAAGGGCAAGGGTCCCCATGGCACCGTAAGTCTGCATCCTGCCTGCCTCGCCCCCACATGCAGGCTTATCCCCAAGGGAAGCCAGGCCCTTGGGGCCCCTTCCCCAGGAGTGAGCTGGCTCCATTCCTTCCTCCCTCTCCCCTCCCTCTCTCCCTCCCTCCCACCGTCAGCCTGTTCCTTGGCCTTGAGTTGCCCTTGATGCTCTAGCAATGCTTCTCTCTCCCTTGCCCTACACCAGCCCGAGGCTGTGGCCTTCTTGTCAGGCTTTGGGGTCTCGACAGCTGCTCAGGTACTCATGTGGGGGCCAGAAGGTAGCTGCAGCCCCTCTCGTTTCAAGCATGTGCCTGAGCAGCAGGCCGCCAACGGTGGCCCAGGTCCAAAGTGCTGGGGCAGGGGCCGGCTGGTTGGCATGGACACAGATGAGCGCCCTGCCCAGAGCAGAGGCCAGATGCCATCAGAATTGGATTAGGACCACATCGTGCGGTTCCTGGATAATCCGTGCTCTCCTTTCCATGACTCCTGGTAAAGGTCGGACAGGGGAAGGGCTGGGACCTGGGTCCCTCCAGTGGGCTTACCGCTGCACTGAGCTTGGCCCAAGACCCAGGTTCCCTGGCTTCTGGAATCCTCTTGGATAGCTACAAAGGCTGAGCCCGTTGATGTGCTTCTTGCCAGGAACAGGCAAAATCTCCTCCCCCAGTACGCCATGCACCTCCCCAGACTCCCCACCCTCCCCAGAGCACCAATCTGCCAGCACACCTTGGCAGGGGATTGATGTGGGGCCTGGGGTGCAGCTTTGGGAGGGGCCCAAGGCTGAGGCCACTGTGTCTGGGCAGGAGTGGGGCCATCTGGGTGAGCACTCCAGGGCCAAGTTAGCAGGTGTGCTGGGGGCCAGGGCTCCTGGGCTTAGAAAGGGGAGGGGTAGTCTTCACAGTGCTCATTCTTCAGGAGGCGGATCAGGCCTGGCTGGCTCTCTCTGTTGCGGCCTGGCCACCCACCTGGGCACTTGCCCTTCTCCATGCCCGCCCCTCCACAGGCACCGGGCAAGCTCCAGAGCCGCTGTGGCCGAATCAGGCAGGTTCCCAGGGGCCTTGACATTTTAAATATTTAACAAGGCCTGACAGGCAGAGGAAAGAACTGCCAGCTGAAGCCCATCTGCTTCCTTTTATCTGGGAGAGGCCAGAGCCCTTGTGGCTAAATGGCCCTCCACCCCAGCCTCCCCCACCTAGCCCCAAATCCTGGTGGGGGGGGGTAAGGAGGAGGGAAGGAGAGAGATCCCTCTGGCCCTGAGCCAAGCCATCTGCCCCGATAACACAACACAGCAGGCTGGGTCCCTTTAGAGCACAGAGCAAGAGAGACCCAGGTAACCCCGGGAAGGCCACTTAGGCTTGGAGTTCCTGACCTGGCTGGGTGGGCACCCTCTCACTTGGCCCTTGGGCCCACCACATCCTGGGTGGGCCATCTCCACCCCCTGCTCCAACCCATGTGCCCCCCACAGATGGATGGGGCCAGGGAGCTGGGGACAAGGGTGATGGCCAGAGCCCTGGGTAGACAAAGGTGTGACAGCTGAGATGCGAGCTGATGAGATCAATCAGCGCGGGCTGAGAACAGGCCTGTTCCTGCCAGGGAGGTGCCAGCTGGGCCAGAGAACCCTCGAACTCCTGGAATCCGGGGCCAAGCCTGGCTCCTGGCGGTCCCAGCCTCCCAGCAGACCCAGCAGGCAGGACTGGGGAAGGCTGGCGCAAGGTAGGGCAGAGTTTTGCCTCCAGAGCCGGGGGGAAAGGGCTACAGGTCAGAGGCAGGGACCCAAGATGGCAGTCGGACCTCTACCTCTGAAACCTTCTAGAGGACGTTCCTCAGCCTCCCTAAGGCTCCCTGCAGCAGCTCTCCTCAGATCTATACTGCCTCAGGCTTGCACTTCTCTGGGACGGCCTGTGGCCAGTGGCACCTCCACTCAGCACTCTGCTCCCCTCGCTTTCCAGAGAGAGGCTCCCTGCAACCCAAGCCCTCAGAGGGCCTCTGTCCTGAACATCTGCCTCCTCTTCCTGGACATAGGGCTGAGCACACACGGAACCTGGGACATACAGACAGGGGCCCTGCCTTCCTCCTCCTCTGTGCTGGGAGGCCGTCCCACCCCGTTGCTCAGAAGAGCTTCCGGGGTTTCAGCTGGCGGTCCAGCCCGCAGGTGCGTGCCGACACCGCGCGGTCCTCTCCCTTCCCCTTCTCTGTTGCTCCATTTCTGTTTAATCCAAAGAGGCGAGAGCAGGGAGCTGCTGATTATGGAGGGGATCGGGCCACAGCTCCTCGAGGACCCCACGTTACCCAGAGGATGACCTCCTCACCGCACACAGAGCATCGCCTGCTGGGGGGGCGGGGGGGGGTGATGGCTACCATGGTCATGTGCACAGTCAGGGTCAAGAGTGCCTCTAGGAAGCGGCTGCAGTAGCACCACCCAGCCCTTGACCAGGCCTTCCCTGGGGGGTACGGAACATCTTCAGGATGCCCCTTGAAGCCCTGGGGGGGGGTGTCAGATGGCCCATGACCCTACATCCCTGGCGCACATGCGGCCTTACCCTCTGTGGGCGAGGTCTTCAGCCTCCTGCAGAGCCCACTGACATCGCCGTAGGCTTCCTGGACCTTTTGCAGCGCCTCAGCTCCTCGGAGCTCCATGAGGGAACGCAGCTCAGCCAGTGTGCACCCAAAGCCGCCTGCGTGGGGGGCCTCCCGCGGCTGCTGGGGTTTGGGGTGGAACTCGATGGAACTGTTGGCCATGTCGCCCATCCTGCCTGCCCTGCTGGGAGGACAGGGTGCCCAACCTCTTCACAGGTGCAGCCTCAGCTCGGCGCAGGTGGCCACGGGAGGCCCCCGTGCCTGGGTGAGGTGTAGTGGAGGGAGCTGCGGCGGGGAAGTGGCTGAGTACGGACACCTGGGGAGAGGTGAGAAGAAGCCAGGGGCAAAGTTGAGACAAAACCAAGGCCCACTCTTCCAGAACATTCTCTGCAGATCTGCACTCAGTCTGAGCCATGAGTTGCTGATTGCAAAATTCACCTCCGAGCCTGGGCCAGTGGCCCTCATTCCCTGCCAGGGCCACCTGCCAGGCCATCCCCTAGTCCTGCCCAGCATGAGCACCCAAGGCAGGAGGACTTGCTGAGGTGGGGAAAGGGGAAGCGTTACCGTCTCCTGGAAGGGGTCGGCTGCTGCCAGCACCAGCCCAGCCCAGCCCAGCCGGGATGTGGAGGCTCTAACTGCCTCGCAATCTGTCTAGGAACCCACACTGAAGCAGAGGCGACGTGTCGGGGTTGAATGGTGGCGTGGGTGGGTGGGTCCTGTGTGCCACAATTCTCCCCATGTCCGCGCCCCACCTCGAGTGAAAGCTCATCCACTCCATCGCGCTCCCTGCTCTTGCCTGATTAGGACCGGCCCACCGTGGTGGGCATGCTATAAATCCCCCCGCGCGGCGGCGGCGGCGGCGGTAGCGGCAGCGGTCTTCTGGCTCAGCCTCTGTGGCTCACGGTTTCAGGCTCGGGCTGCACGGGGGTCCGGGGAGCAGGCCAAGCCATGGACAGGGCCAGCTGGGAGCCAGGTCAAGGCTTAGTGTGCCGGCGTGTCTCTGCTGCCCTGAGGGCACCTGGGGGGCTGGGGCAAGGAAGGGAGGTGGCCTGGAGGGAGGGAGTAAGGAGGGAGAAGGAGGGCAGGAGCGGGAAGGGAGAGAGGGAATGGGGGAAGGAGGGGAAAAGGGAGGAGAAGGGGAGAGGTGGCGGGGGGGGCACATAGGAGAAAAGCAGAAAGCAGCCACAGGTCACTGGCGACTCCCCATCCCCTGCCCCACGGCACGGTGCCAGCCGCTCTCCCTCATACCCTTCTGCCCTCCAGATGATGGACTCAGGAGCTGCCCAGCACATACACACATACTGAGAGCATGAGTGGCAGCACCCCCAAAGGTCAAACTCCCATGATTGAACTAGTCTCGGTGCACACGGCCTTGGCCTTCATGGCAGCAAGTGGCCTCCTGACGGCATGGCTCAATTGGGCCCAGTCCTTTGCCTTTGGGGGGGCTTTGGGCTCAGAAGGATCTTCTTGGAAGCCGAACTTGGCCGCTGATCCAGGTTTCTGATTAGAACTGTCCATGGGAACACAACAGCCCCGAGCCCTGTGGCCTTTGCTCTCAGGAGAGCGCCCGCCTCTTCCTCGGAGCCCAGCAGACTCAGCAGCAGGGCTGCGCCACAGCCCGCAGGGGACAAGACCAGGGCCTCTGGGAGGAAAGGGCCATTCCCCTGTGCCTACAGCCCCGAGGGGCCTCAGAACACGTAGGGGCCTTAGTTCCTCTGGATGCTGGCCCTGTGTTGTCAAGAAAAAGCACACGTACCTAGGGCGGCTCCCGCCCGTGAAGTCTGGGACGCAGAGAGGCACCCCAGAAAATGCCCATCCAAAGCGGTCCACATTTTATAAGTTTGGGCACCTAAGCGTTAATCCTCTAGACTCTTTCCACGTGGAGCAGGCTTCACTGCCGGAAGATGTGGGAACAAAATGGTAGACAAGAGAATGCACTGTCCTCTCCACTCCCACGCAACTTCCCACTGCCCGTCCTTTTAGTTTGCCATCTGACAAATCCTTACTGAGCATCTACTATGTGCCCGCACTGGCCGTCCGTGCTAGCGACAGAGAGGTGACAGGACTGAATGGATTCTTGTGCTCTCTGGCTGGGAGACGCGTACCCAGCAGGTGAGAGAGTTGATGGAGCATATGGTTTCACTGGGGGCGGGGGTCAGGGAAGGCCTCTTGGAAGGGGCACATTTGAGAAAAGTGAGCCATTCTTCTGGAGGGAAGGGTGCTCTGAGACTAGGGAGAAGGCAGGTAACGGGACAGGGTGGTGGGAGCGAGGGGCTGCGGATCCCATGGGGCCCCAAGTGACATGGGCCATCACCAAGCAGAAGGCTGCTGGGTGAGGACAGACTGGAGGGGCAGAAGCCAGCCCGTGAGGGAGGGGCTGCGATCAGTCGGTGGGCCATCCTGCCCGTGGCGGTGAGGGCAGAGGCGACGCACGTCAGCCCCGAGCTCAGGGACGTGTGGAGCCGCAGAGCGTCCAGAACTTGAAGGAAGTGAAGCTTTCATTTTCACGGCATGTAAGGCAGAGTAGGCTCTTTCCGGGGTGCTCCGTGAAAGCGCCCCACTCACCTGGGTGGGTGCAGTAGGAATCACAGTCCGGTCCGCTGGCCCAGGAAACAGAGGCCATTTCAGGAGGCACACTGGAGGCCGCACTGGCAACTTTCGACCTCCCTAGATGGCCTTGCCTGTTGCCCCCACCCCACGCCTTTGTCCCCGCCAGGTTCTTTCCCCCACTCCAGACTGTTGCTCGGGACAGTGCCCCGGCTGGGTGCCCCTTCTCCCCTCCTTTCTCTCACCCCGCTGCCATGCCTCTCCCTTCCCAATGCGGGGCAACCTGGGGGAAACTCGCGGTGTTGGGCTCCGTGTCCCCATTGGCCGCTGGACAGGAGGGACAGGGTCTGGTCTCAGCCCCCCAGCAGGCACAGATCGCTCTGTGAGTAGGCCCCAGGCAGACAGGGCTGCTGAGAGAAGACCAACCAATGGGCTGTGTGAGGTGTGAGTGCAGGTGGGGGTGGGGGTGGAGGAACAGGAAGGGGGCATTTAGCAAAGCTGTGGGGCCCCTCCTCCCAGGCTGAGGGGAATGGCCCGGCACCCACACTGGCCTGCATTCCAGACCTTCCACTTCGGCCCCAGGGGCCAGCTATGTGCCTGCATGGCCCCCACAGAGCTGCCTAGGGACTCCCCGGGGTTCCTTCTAAAAGGGAAGTCAGATGAATGATTTTGTTCCTTTGGAGCCTTTTATCTTTTTGGCCTCTGCACCCACTTGGAGAAGGCTCGGTTGGAAGGTGCCCAACTCCACCCAGGTGGCATTCGAGGGCTCCAGGGGGTGACAGAGTGAATGGTCCAGAGTTGGGTGGGCTCAGGGGCAGATGCTGGGAGACAGCAGTGCATCCTGGCGGAGGTGACACCTTCATACACCTGCCGACACCCGCGGCCCATCCCTCTCCCCCCGACCCCCACAAAACAGGGCCCACTGAAGGTGAGCTCTGTCCTCCCCTCCTGTTCCCTACTCCTGCCCCCGGTGTGGCCCTGCCCTCGATTAAGCAACAGCAGTGGCCCAGACAGCCACACAAGGTCCTTGAGCTGCTCCTAATTGGTGTGCTGTCATCACTGCGGCCTACTGGGCCCGTGGTGACTCATGGTAAGGGAACTGGGCAGGGAGGCAAGGCCTGACCTTCTGTGGGACACACAGCACTCCTGCCCCCACCACGGCCTCTCAGCTGGCCCTGCCGCTCCTCTGCACTTCCGTAACCCCTGGCACCCCGCCTGCAGCTGGGGCCTGCTCCCTCTACCTCAGCCCCCGCCAAACAGGCCCCGTGTCTCCATCTACCACCTCATCGGTTTCCGTCCAGTTGGGCAGCTTGTCACCACCCTGCTCTGGGTCACCACTTCCCCTGGTTCAGGTGCTGCCACTCTCTCTGCCTCCAAACTGCACTGGCTTCTGGAAAGCCACACATCCTGTTTCCACCGGTACCGCACACTGGTGTGCCCGTGGCGCCACGCGCCTTGCCCCAGCGCACGGCCTTGCCGGCCCCAAGCGCTCCAGACGGACCCTGCCCCACCCACCCTTCTGTCCTCTCTCCACCCGATGACCTCTGACAAATTTGAGTGGCAATTCGAGTGGAACTTTCTCCACAAAGTCTCTGCCAAAATTGATCGCTGCTGAGTCTGTAATCTGGCGACTGTCCCTATTCCACTCTGCTCAGCATTGCAGTGACCTGGGCGCATGTCTTCCCACTCTCGGGGTCGCAAGCTTTTTGAGATACGTGGTTATTGAACTGGCAAGAAGTCCACCACACGGTCAGCCCTGGGTGGGGATGGGGGTCTGGAGGAGTTGAGTGAACAGAGGCCTGGCTGGCCAAGGAAGAGCTGGGAGCCCTTTTTTTTTTTTTTTTTTTTTTAATGGGGGATCGCCATCCCGGAGAGCACGAGGGAGGGCACAGGTATGAAAGGCAGGTCACTCTCAGTGTGCCCCAGGGCTTCGCCCAGGTCTGGGGGGCCCCCTCTAGTCAAAGACTGCTCATGCTAACCTTCTTCATCTTCATTCACTCTATAGGCAACAGGGCAGACAGGAGCCGTCAGTTAAATCAAAGTCAATCTTGCGTGACTGTCGGCTGCTGTAGAGACCAAATGGCATATACTATTGTTTTTCTGGGTTCTCTGTAAGCCTCGGCAATTTGCCTCCCTCATTCTGAATAAGGACAGTAGCCATCACTGGAATGGCCAAGAACAGAAACGACCGGGCCTATCAGTTCTGCAGGCCTGACAGAGACTTTTTGGCCTGGGCTGGCTGCCTAGAACGGTCTGTAGGCACTAAAAGTGCAGGGAACGTACCATTTTGGTACTCTTTCATCTTTCAGACCTTAATTGGCTTAATTGAATTACAAACCTCCACAGAGAGGGACTCACGCCTTCTGATATTTGCTCCATCCTGGCACAAGGTGGCCAGCACCATAGAGCTCTGTGTCAGGTCCCCTGGCCTGCCTCACCCCTGCCCTGTGAATTTCAACAGGGTGCTGCCAGAGTGCTGCAGGTCACCCAAGTTCAGGCCTGTCACACAACTGCCACCCTGACACCTCCTGTCCCCAGGCCCAGTGACTCACATTGATCTGACGAGAAAGCCTTGTCCCCTTTGTTCCTGCCCCGCCCCCCGGCCACTTCTAATCAGGTTTTGG